TGAGGTGAGCCTCAGCCTCCCTCAGTGCTGGGTTAGAGGTGTACATCACTGTACACAGTTACACTCGCAACTTCTAAATAATAATAAAAATCCCTAATAACAGCACAAACTCACCCAGGCTATTTGAGTTTATTTAAATCCTGGCTTTACTCTTTCCTGGCTCTGTGATCTCAGACAAGTCACCTCACTCCTAATTCTTCTGTTTCCTCATCTATAGCCCAGGAGCAGTCTAGTACTTAGCTCTTAACTCTAAAAACAATATGAAGATTAAATGGCTTAATATTTGTAAAGTACTTAAGGCCATGCTTGCAACATAGTAACTTTCAAATATGTGTATAAATTTTTAAATGTCATGTTTTAAACATAAAAATTATGTTTTGAAAATGAACACCTAGTTCACAGAGTAAAAGGGAGATTTTGGCATATTTTTAATCTTTTACCAAAATATCAAAGACTATTATAAGCCATAAGCCAAATTCCATATCTAGCTTACTTTCCTATGTTGCCATAAATAATAGCAAATATTTGGTGTTCCATATGATAGTTCCAGATATTGGACAAACAAGATTCTCATTGATAACTCCTTCCAGTGCTTACTGAACAGAACTGATTTCTTTCTTAAATTTGGAACAACCATCTCATCATCCTTCCTCACTTCCCTTCTCTGAATCTTTCCAACAAGTTAAGTCGAAGCATCCTTTCCGAGAACAGCCCTGATGATCTCACCCACTGTCAACAGGGGAGAGAAGGTCTGAAACCCGCAGTCTAGATGGTGAGGTCTTATACACACCTACTCTCCATACATTTCCAGTATTCCTCTCTTCTCTGTCATCTACAAATTATGCATCACTCTCCTGTTCTTTGGAGAGTCACATTTTATTAGCTATTATGATAAACCTGAATACATTTCCCTTAACAGAGCCCCCAAATTGCATGCCTCTTTCCGTGGTATAATTGCTGTCCTTCAGAGTCCCTTTTGATATAGTTCTCTGCTTTGTAGAACAGAAGTTCTCTGTTTTGTGGAACAGAAGTTGACATTCTGGATCTTTGGGATTCCATGGAGTCTTGTATAGAAGGCTAGCCATCAACATTGGTCACTTGTCACAAAGACATTTTTTAAAACAACATTTTATATTTGGGATAACTATAAACTTATAGCAAAGACAAAAACATACAGCATTTCTGCATATCCTTTACCCAGATTCCTCTAATATCAACATCCTACAAGACCCACAGTGTGCTTTTTTATGACCAAGAAATTAACATTGGTAAAACAGTAGTGACTAAAATTTCTTTGGATTTCACTAGGTTCACCTCTCTGTCCTTTCCCTGGCAAGAACCAGCCTTAGTCCAGCTCACCCGCACAGAAACCCAGGCTTCTCTTTTACCAGCCCTCGGCTATCTCCCCACGTGATCTCTTTTTGAAGTGGCCCAGAAAAATTCCTTTGCAAGTCTTCTATGTTTGGCATTCCACAGCTATGTAACAACATTCATTTGGTTTTAATCACAGCTTTTAGATAATATAAACCTTGCTTAAGAGCATAACCTCAGCTAGACTACCTGGATGTGACAGTGCTTTTCCTGTAAGGATACGTGAAGTGACAGCAGTACAGGAAAGAGTGAAATGTGGGAGTACAAACCTAGCTATAAGTTGCCCTTTAAAGCACTATGTGTGTAAACTTGGGGAACAAACTAAGCAAAGCAAATAAGCTTTGGAGCTTCTATGTATATAGGAGACACTGTAGATTCTATTGGGATGTTGTAGCTTCCCAGCATCCATTTCTCTTTGTGGATTTGTTTTGAAGATTTTTCTTCACTGAATGCAGCCCATTTGAACTGTCATCCAGCCCAATGCTCCCTCAGTTAAGTGGTCAGGAAGGAGCCCATCTGGATACTCCAGTATGTCTTGCTTGAGATACTACTCTTGAACAGAACAAGGAGATGGAAACCATTGGAATTTTCTTTTTCTTAGCCATGGCCTACTGACTAGACTCTTCAGGTTCACAGAATTTCTACTGGCAGGCTTCAGAAGGCATCTTATTCCTTTTCTACCCCTACACCCAATTTTGTAGCCTCTTACTGATTTTAGAAGCTTTCTAACATCCTTAAGAAATCCTCTTTCAAATTTATTACCCAAGTAGCTTAGGTAATTAAAAACAAATTAAAAAAAAAATAAAACATGATGTACACCTGTTAAGTGCCACCATTGTGTGACTTGGTTTCTGGGGTAGTGGGGGAGCTCCTGCTCTGTGATTGGTAAGATCAAAAGAGCCGGTTATCTATGAAGGCCCATGAAAATAGTAACTTTATGAATATCCAAGTCAATAAATCCATTCATATAAAATCCATTTGGTCTCCCATTTGCTCAACAAATATTTAAATACCACATATTCATAGGCATCAGCCACCATGCTAAAAATGGCAAATATTTCAAGATAATCGTCAAGGCAACTCAAGGCAGAAGCTGAAGTCTTGGCCATGCCTCCACTTCTGCAGTAAGACAGTGGCAAGCGTGTGCATGTATGTGCCAGGAGATACTGAAAGGGGCGAGGTGGAGATCAGTAGAATGTTTCATGCTTCCTGCAGTGAATGGTATCTCTCTGGTTACTAGTGCTTCTGAAGCAGCTGCTGGAGAATCAGGCCAGTAATGAATGTTGGCTCCTTCCCTTCTCCTCTCCATCCCTTTCCCAGCCAGCCACCCACCTGGTGAACAGCTAGGGATGGTGCAAAGCTAACAGTACTGACACTGCATGAATGGCACATTTCTCTTGTGCCGCAACCAGCCTTGGGTTCCCATCACTGAAACTTGTCAGCAAATAGCAGTTTGTGATACAAGTTGATGCAGAGGGAAGGGCCGATTCACGAGTGCAAATAGGATGCATTTTTCCAGGCTATAACTGCCTTTTTTGCGAGGCACATTATCTTCTGTCTTCTTCAGAGTGTATCTTTGATAACAGTGATGTTTGGGGTCCATTTAAAAGCGAAAAAGAGAGTTTCTGATAGCTATTCCAGTTCAGAGACATAACACCAGTGCAGGTGAATTGTCCATCTCCAGCAAACAGCTCACCTCCCCTTTTGTCTAAGTTCTGTTTCACGATTCTTGCTAAATATTTTTGAAAGAGGAAAAGAACTAACATGGATGAAAACATGGAAGGAAAGAAAGACCGTTCTTCTTGAATGTATGTTTAAATGTGCTGAGTTTCAGATTGCTTAAATCCCAGTGAGACATTTTTAGAGTCCTTGAGACTCCCCATTCTCTCAAGCACCACAGCCTCTTGCAAAGTGGGAGGAACGAATCAAGATGCTATAGTCTTACTGAGCACAGGAGCACACGCTACTCAAGAGAGAGGCAGGAGGATGGCAAGTCTGAGGTTAGCCTTGGGAACATAATGAAACTCAACATAAAAAGGTTAGTGATGCAGCTCAATGGTGAGGGTCTGGGTTCCATTCTTACTACCGTCAAAAGGAAAAACACAGTCTGCCCCTGTGAAGTACTATTATTGTGAAGCTTGATTTCCTGGAATTTTGTCTTCATATTCCTCAGCCCCTGGTCAACTTGCCTTCTATGCCTAATCTGTCGTCTCTCTTTGCCACAGCCATAGATTTCCACAAGTTCATTCTTCCTCTGTGTGCCAGTTTTCAGGAGATTGTAGCCTTGTCTGGTGAGGCATGAGCCATCTGGAGCCACCGATCACTGGAGCAGGTGCCTATGATGGACAGTTGCTGTGCAAAGAACTGCTTGGAGCATGGGATATCTTTGAAAAATAGGACTCGCCCTAGAGGGAATCAGACAGATGAATAAATCACAGGCACATTTATTAAATCTTGACAGGGGCTGACAGAGAAGAAATGGTCAGTTTTGAGGAATGCTCCTCTGAAGTCCTCAAGATCAAGATGCCTTATGGTTTTGGCTTTGCCTTTAGAATTCTTGAAAGCAGAGCTGATCAGAGATTCATGGAGAGTCGTCACCAATTACTCTAAGGAGTTATTCAAATTGGTTACCTCAAAGAACCTTGCTTAAATCATTTGATGGATCTAAAGCAAATTTAATCAGCCACAGTTCTGTCCCCTGGACACTTGCAAGTCTGTCAGCCACTCAGGAAGCTTTGTAGCAAGAACTAAGTCTGTTCTGTTTCAGCAGGAGTCCTCTTCAAGAATAAGACAGCTGGGGACCCATGGGTGCAAACCATGAGCCTTCCTGGATGGACTCTTCAGCAGGGTCCTGCTGCCAAGCATGGCAGGGTCTATATTAATGATGGCAGCAAACATGGCTTCACCCAGGGTAGGAGGGCAAAAGAGGAGAAGACAAAGATCCCCCTGCAGATTACACAGTCCTGGCTTTCTCTGGGTGCATACCTTATGGGAAGGCTCAGAGAGTAGTGAGTTGTGAGGAGCAAGGTAGCCTGTGGTTAGACTTGAATTGAAATGTCAACTGAGCTGTTTACCTCCAAAAATACCTTAGGTAAATAAATTCCTCAACCTATTCATGTCTTAGTTTCTTTATCAGAAAAGGGGGATAAAGATAGTGTCTATCTCATAGAATTGTTTTAAATACCCATAAAGTGCTTCACACAGTGTTGTATGTAATGGCCACTATTCTTAGTTCATGCAAGACTAAGATTTTATTCTAAGTTGCTCTTACCCGCTTAAATGAGCAAGAGTGTGAGTCAAGCCTTGTGGTGTAAAAGAACAGAAGCCCTGCTTGACTCCACTTCAGTAAACATTTGTTAAGTAGCTACTGTAGATGCTGGTTACTGCCAAGACACTGAAGTAAATGGCACTCTCCTGGTTGCCTCCCTAGCTGTACCATAAACTTCTTGATAAGGCAGGCATGCATGAAGGAAACTTGGGAAGGATTCAAGGTGGCACACAAGCAAGCTGGAGTTCCTGTGGATACTGAAACACCTAAACCCACAGAGCTCCAAAGCAAGGAAAAAACACTCATCAGCATTACCCATGGTCCCTTCCACCACCCTCCAATCATCTTGCTGTATGCTTCATCAAATATTTCAGAGACTGCTACAGCAGCCCTGAGGCAGTGTGCCTAGGTGTCTTGCTCTGTAGTGAAGGACCAGGAGGAACTAAATAGTTCCGGAAATAAAGCAGAAAAGCAGTGACTTTCCGTCTCATATTTGCCGCTGTGAGTCTTTCCATTCCATCTTGCCTAGCTCTTTTTGTTGTATCACCCACTCATACCTGTGACTCTAAACTGCTTTGGCAAAGCTGCCTTTGGCCAGGAACCTTCGTTCTTACCCAGCTGCTTTCCTCCCTTGTACAGCTGCAGCAGTGGACTCCGCTCTGTCACACACTTGCTTTCAGTATCTGCCCCTTTCCTGGCTTTTACAAATTCCTGCTGCACGGTTTGAAGACATCTGCTCTTGAGAAACATTTTCCTCACTTTCTATATCTTATTCCTGGGTCAGCTCCTTTTCTTTCTTTAGTGCCTAAATGTATGCTGTATCTTTTTGGCCCTTTCTTTTTCTTTCTCCTCTGGAGATGGCATCCTCCCTCCTCTCTTCTCCTGCTGGATTGCTTCCTAGGTATTTATACTTATCAGGCTTTGTGTTCCTTTGAGAAAAATTAAAAGTGAAGTGATCTAGTTTAAGGTCTAACCATCTCCACAATCTTCCTATCTTTCCAATAACATCCCTGTGATTCTTTTAGGTTTTATGTCTTAGAATGGTGTTATTCGGTTGATAAATACTGTGACATGCTAAAGATGGGTAAGTGTGTGGGAAGTATGGACTATCCCTGCCTTTCCCCAGCCTGCTGTGAGGAAAAAAACAATTCAGCATAGACACACAATACTGGCAATCCACTGCTATGGTGGTGTCAACCTGGCAGCCAATTTGGAGGGTCTCATGGAAAGGGGAGATGTTTTCTACTCTGAGATCTTATGAAGCAGTTATACAGAAAGGACATAGAAATATTCTGAGACTATTTGAAGACTATTCAGAGGCCAATTAGGAGAAGAAAGCATTTGTAATTTACCATATCTCTAATGCACCGCAGGGGTGAGGATGTGAGAATCTATTCATGCCTGATAGACACCAGTCATCCACCACCATGACCTCATGGTAGTCAGCAGTGTTCTAGCTTATCCTCCTGCCTGCCTTTTCTACCTGGAATGTCATCAGCCTTTCTAGGCCCTCTAACTTGTAATGGTCTCAACTCTAAGGCAGACTACAAAGTACTCTCATTTGACAATTCATAACGACCTTCCTAGGAATTTCCTTTAACTGACATTCACTTATTCATTAAATGAATACTAATGATCTTCTATGTTAAAGGCCCTTGTTACGATTTATGTCAGCAATAACCCCAAAACTCTCATGTACTCATAGGTGGAGCTCTTAAAAGGTAACTGGATCATGGGGCACTACAGCTGACTTGCTGTTTTGGAGGCAGGACTTGGATGAAGACAGATCACTGGAGGTGTAGCCTGGGTGTATATGCCTACCTCCCTTCCTGGTTCCTCCCTTCTCTCTCTGGCCAGCATGATGTGAGTATCTTTCCTCTTTCATGTTGTCTCTACCTTGGATCCAGCTGGCTATGAGCTGAACCCTCTAAAACATGGGAGCCCAAATAAACCTCTCCTGTTTTAGATTATGAGTGAGTGTCACAGCAATGAGGAAAATAAGTGACTAAGGCAAGTCGGAGTTCAATGGAACATGGGAATAAACAGCACAACCTATGTTCCTTAGATTATAAATCTCACAGTTTTGTGTGGGAGATCATCAACTAGTAAACAAACGCATTAAACAAGCTCTCATTTATGCAGTTTAGTCTCATCTTTCTGTTTAGTCTCATTGAATCAATCTTAAACTCCCCAAAGTTTTCCTCAAAGAAGAACAGCTATTTTATTAGATTAGATGTCTCTAAGTGGTAACATTTTGTCTACCAAACCTCATAGATGCTTAATGAAATGAATCTATTATGATTTATAGTTTACAGGTGAGGGAAATGAGCATCCAAGAAGTTATAAGATTTTCTCAAGCTCATAAAACTGCTAACTGTCAAAGCCATGGAATTAACTCAGGACTATGTGAGGTCCACAGCTCAGGGTACTGCATAAGTGCTTAACTGTTCCCCACATATTTGCTTTGTTATTCTTGTTAATTAAGTTATCAGGGAATTAGTTCTTTTGCTTGTTTTCTCTTTCACTAGCTAAACAGATTTAAGACACACTGAAGCATAAGAAGCTCTACAATCCAACAAAATTGAATTTGGTCTACAGGAGTACCCATCTCATGTCTTAGAGTTAACCATATCACTTAGCTTTTGCTGATTCTCATTTGTTTATCTCTCACTCAATAAATATTTATATGACAGCATTGTGTTAGACTCTGAGAAATAAAAGGAAACTACTTTGTCACCAGGATGTTTTTGGCTAAACATGATACAAACATAAATAAACTGTGCCCTCAAGTGCCCTGGAACAAAGGCACATTCCATAAGGGGAAACAGGGGACACAGGACCAAAGACATAGAAGTGGGACCCGAAACTGGTGCTGGAATTCAGTATACAATTTAGTCAAAATGATAGCGAGAAGAGATCAATGAAGTCTCAGAGGAAAACCTGTCTATTTTATGAGATTTCATAGCTTATCAACTTCATAAAATCTTATTGAGTGGACAATTCCACTCAAACTTTTCCTCGAAGCTAGGGTGATCCCTTTGATAGAACCAAGCATCTCTATTTACTGGGCATTTTAATGCTATTGTGGCTGTCACTCCATCCCTGCTCTCCTCCATCTCTACAGAAGCATTAGTGGGAGAATGGCTCCCCTTACCATATTTTATCATAGGCTTTGGCAGTTGACCATCTTTCCTGAAACGTGTCAACGCTTTAATATCTTTTGTTCTCTTGGGAGCTCTAAGTTAAACTTCCCAGGTGAATGTATGCACAGGAGAAAGAAGCATGGGGAGGGAAACACTGATAAATGGCCATGAATCCACTGTGTGAGTTTGGAGACTCTTCCTGCTAATACTGTGGTAAGCACTCTCAAGTGTAAACCTCAGCTTTTCCTACTCCTTGACCTCAACTACGTTAAAGCCATGGAGAACCCAACCCCTGCAGATCAAACCGTGTCCTCTGTGTCTCTTTACAAGTGGACACACTATCTTCTTCCTACACTTCCAATCAGTGTTCTGCCTAGCATTCTAGTGTTCCTTGTGCATACTGCTTTATTTTTCTTGCTTATGATATTAAACTCTAAAGTCAGAATACTAAATAGCCTGAGATAATGCCTTTTTGGTAGAGCCTAAAAACATTTTTGCATTTATATTGTAGTGCAACACATTTGTGCTAACTCTAAAGTCAGAGTACTAAATAGCCTGAGATAATGCCTTTTTGGTAGAGCCTAAAAACATTTTTGCATTTACATTGTAGTGCAACACATTTGTGCTAACACATTTATGTATTCTGTAAGCTGACATTCTATATTATCTATATTTTGGATCCTCTAGTAAGTCTAATAATATATTACAGTTAAAATAATATGTCATATTTTAGCCTTAGTAAGTAAATTACTAAGTAATTCATCAGACAGAAAAGGCACCTATCTTTTTATCCTTTTTTATATATACACCTTAAGGTTTTCATTAAATCCAGGGGCCAGGAATATGTTACTTTAGCTATGGCAATCTCCTTCATTATGCTAGCCTTCAATTAAATGACAGCCCGCTGAGGTTATATTTTCACCTCTGAGATAGCATTCGATTTGGCAACTTCATTTGATGTAATCCATTTTTAGATGGACAGCACAGGATCAGAATATTTTTCACCAGCAAAGTTACCTTACACTAAAAATAAATCAAAAAACACCTAACAGTGAAACATTTAAAAATCATTCTAGTGATGAATATGGCAAAGCTTCTTTTATTCTGCAATTAAACTTGTTCTCCCCATCACCTACAGGTTAAATCCAAACTTGTGAGCACAGCATTCAAATCTGCATCATTCTGCCCTAATTACCTGTCCTGTATCATCTGCCACTGTCAGCCCCAGACATGCTGATCAAGTTTGATCACACCGTCCAGAACTTCCCTTTCCCTTGCCATGCTCATGATGCTATCTCCACCTACCACAGTGCTCTCACCTTTTTCTCTTTTTTGGTGAATTTCTCATCACTTTTCAGGCCCAGTACATTTATCTTTTCTTCAGTGTTGCCCACTTCTATGAGTTAGGGGGAAACAGACTGACTTTCTTTTTCTTAACTTTCAGAGTCTACTAGTTATGCTGTATTTTCTAAGCTACTCTTTTTTTCCCCTTCCCTTTTCATTAGAGTATGTTTTGGATACATAAGAAATATATTTATGGGGGGAATTGGCATAGGTACGCATTGTATCTTGGTCCTCCTGTTTGCCCCATACTTTATAGGGCATGTGTTCACCAAGGTGGGAACACGGCTTAATCATCTTTGTACTCCTACTAATAGAAGCATGAGGAAGCCTTACTTAGTGGCTGAATGAACAAGGGGTATTACCACTCCCTTCCTATGCACAGGAAGCTCCCACAGGGTAGTAAAATACTGGTGATAAGTGATAGAGAAGTTATTATCTGACTCTAATGTCAAGACTCAAGCAGTCATGATACCAGAACAGCATGAGATCGGATGAGAAGTACAGATTAAGTGCTGTAAGACAGAGTCCAGTACCACAGTACCAGCAAATGTCCAGGCTTGGCACCAGGAGACTGAGTTTAGTGCTGATTGCTGAGCTTCGCTGATTGTTGGTGGGTAAAGGATACTCTGCCTCTCTGGATTTTGACTTTCGCATTCATAAAACAATATAAGTGAACCAGATTAATATCTAACTGTCTTTTGCATCTTCTTCTCCTACAAATAATCATTCTGTAATGGCTCCTTCTTGTTTGAAGACTACAGCATGTTTACAAGATGAAGACACAGCTGTCTTCAGGGAATAAGGAGGTGACAATAACAGATTTGATCAGCACACATCCTATTCCTGTAGTGACATATTGTACTCTACCTCCTTGATAGGAAACATGATGTTAATTAAAAAGCAAATAATAGTTAAAAGTTCAAAAAATAAATGCAAACTACCATACTAAACAACTCCTATTTATAATGTCAGTATCAGTAGCAAAATTTATAGAAGAATTCTGCATCACGTCTTCACAATTTCTTTTAGGGAAGGAATTCTCTTTGTTTGGGAAAATACTTTGATGTACAGCTTTAGGGAAAGATAAAACCCTAAGGCAAGAATCTGTAGGAACCTGAGGAGCCAAATATGTAACTAGACAGATCTGTATTAGACAGAATTCAAAATAGGGAGAATGGGGTTAGGGCTAAAAAGTGGAGACGCAGGAAAAACCCAGGAAAGACAGAGCACCAGATAATGTAGCCTGGGGATCAGGGAGACAAAGAATATTTATTGTTACACTTTAGCTTGCTTTGCCTTTTCAAAATTTTAGCAAAATCTTCTGTCTATACCAGAGCTATGCGTGAGCAGACTTTGGGCAAGTGAAAAATTCTGAACTGCACATCCAATCAGTGTGTTGTTACACTGACAAGTGAACAGGATGCGGTGTCCTTTCAGGGACTCCATACAAAGTTGTGCAGGTTCTGTACTACTCAAAAGTGCGTGCGTGTGTGTGCATGCGTGTGTAAGGTCCATTTAAATCCTAAGAATTACAGCTTTCGGCATTTGCATTTTGTATAGCTATCAGACAGTATCTCACTATAAAAAATCATGACTGTTATGACAATTCTGTGACCCGAGAGAAGTGACCTGAAGTGGGATATGCTGTTTTAATTTACACAAAGGTAATGTGAGGCCTTGTGGTGGTGTTTAGTCTTAAAACAGAAACCACTGACAGAACAGGCATTCAGGATCAAAGGTGATCAGGCTCTAGGAGTGTGATTAGGACATTATGCTTTCTACAAACGTGTTCAAAAAGGGAAAAATCACTATCAGGTAGATTAGAGGACAAGATAATCAGCTGACATCCAAGTAACATGTGGACAAAGCAGTGTTAGGGATATTAACAGAAACCCACACAAGTCCTACTCTCCCCCCATCTTTCTACAGCTTCCCATTATATGCACAGACTTGCCGGAACTTTTATGTGAACAAGAACTACAATAAAATTCATGTGCACAATGTGGCACTGCCACCCACAGAACTATCCAAGAGTGTCTCAGTACTGTAACAAGGAAACTGGGTTTCCCAGGGGTAGAAGATACTTACTGCTTCTCTCCCACCCCCAGTTATAATGTGTACGGGCATAAACCTCTCGCTGTCTTCATTTTTCACTCTTGGAAGACAGACAGGGAATTCTGGATTGCTCGCGTACACTTCCCTTTCATTGCTTGGTTTACAAGCAATCATATCACCCCACACAAACTATAATTTCCTCTTTGTTATCTCTACTTCTTTCAGCCAAACAGGATTCACTGCAGAAATAATAATGAGCCATTACCTTTGATGTAGCGGCTGCCTGTGCTGTCGAGATGGAGCTGTGCCAACATTAGAGAT